CTCGATATATTGATGATGTTACCAGTATTACTCATCAAGCAATACTACTCTTATATTAATCATTCAACCGTAAACAAACATATCAAATACAATTTTATATACTAATTTATTATAATAAAATTAAATCACAAAAATATTTTAATTATATTCTTGCAGTTTAATTGAAAAGTTTTGTTTTAAATATATACTATACCTATTCTAAACACGTATTCAAATATTAATTTTGTGGAATATATATCAACATAAAAAGAGATGTAATTAACGAAATTTCATCGTAACAACAGATATTTTAGAAACGTCCACTTATTTCACTGAGATTTATGAAAAAAAAGTCCTTTGCCTTGGGTACAGATACCGCCACGTTTTGGAAATAGCTCATTACGAAACAACATTGAACAAGGCAACAAGAAACGTCAAAAAAAAATCCCCCACACCCTCCTCACGAGTTTTCAGGCGCTTTTAAGAATCGAAAGTAGGTCGGGGCAAACCGAAGTGGATCGAAGAGTTTTCCGCATAGTGTATAGGTTGTTTTATTTTTAATTTTTTTATATCATTTGGAAACTTTAGAATGTATTACACTGTTGTTTAGAAAATTATTTGTAACGTTTCAAAAAAATGAGCATGTTCTATTCGGAATAAAAATGACTTTTTGTCTCGCCTGTAACGCCGTACATTTTTCTTCGATTTATCTTTGAGAAAATTTTCAGAATCTCTAGCTTTTCTCCGTCGCGTCCGTCGGTTTGACGTGATTTCCCGGAAAAATCTCATATTAATTTTTTCCGTTCTTTTTAAAAGCAATTAAAGCAAGCCGGATCGGCGAATACAAAGTTGCCTCTAGTCGGGAAAAGGTTTAAAAGTTTCCACACAGAGAGTGATTCATCTCCTTCTTTTTCCCACCGTTTTCTTTTTACACTTTGCTCGTCGTTTTTCCTCGCGGAAACTTCTGGATTTTTCATAGATAGATGCAATTTACCAGAACGGACTTTATAATTATTCTTTTGTTTTTCAGCAATCTGGAGATTTTTAATTGGATTCCTTCGTCGGAGAAGGTGGTCTCAGTTTGGAATTGGAAAGTTTAAATCGATGCTGGTTTCTGTTTGAATTTAAATGCAAATGCACTATAGAACTTATATCGAACTATGTACAGGTTTCAGTTTTTTACTCAGTTAGATCTAGGGGTTTTAAATTTATAACTTACTTTAAAATAAAACTGTGTTTTCTTTAAGATATCAAAAAAATAAAAAAGTTATATAAATAGAAGTACAATTAAACCGATTTTAGTGATCTCTGATTGGTTGAATTTGTCTTAAACAATCAGATGCAAAAAAAAAAGCAACGGAAAAATTTTTCGTCAATTTAAAGTGTTATACAGGGAAGTCCGAAATGTATTCCGGAAACTTTGGCAGAATATTCTGCAGATAAAAATAAGTAAAAAGGTTCGTATAAATGTATGTCCTAAAATGCTTAGTTTTGGAGATACAGAGTGTAGAAGTTTCATTTTTATTTCGATTTTTTCCAAATAATTTCTGAAGTAACGTCAATATTTGGATGAAAATTGGTGTCTGGGAGTTTATTGACATGAGCAATTTGATTTTGATGTTAATATGACTGCTATTTGTATGGGGCGCCACCTACATGTGTTTTAACTGTTTTGAAGAGTAATAACTTATCGTTTGTACCTGTATAAAACTACTGTGTGGAAAAATATAGATTTCCGTGATTTTTTACGTAAAAAATATCAATCAAATCAAATAACAAATACAAATCGCTACGAGCAACCGTTCTCAAGATATTTAGATATAGATATATTTAGTTTAATTTATGTCAATTATGACAGGTATTAATAATTTCGATTACAAATATCTCGAGAACCATTACCCGTAGCGATTTTTACCAAGATACCTTTTTTACGTAAGAAACGTCGTAAATGTATAATTTTTCACTCAGTAGTTTTATACAGGTACAGACGAAAAGTTATTACTCTTCAAACCAGTTAAAAATATATAGGTGACGCCCTCTACAAGTAGGAGTCATATTGACATCAAAATCAAATTCCTCACATCAAAAAACTCCCAGACACCAATTTTCATCCAAATATTGACGTTACTTCAGAAATTATTTGGAAGAAATCGAAATAAAAATAAAACTTCTACACCCTGTATCTCCGAAACAAAGCATTTTAGGACATACATTTATAGGAACTTTTTTACCTATTTTTATCTGCAGAATATGTTGCCGAAGTTTCCGGAATAAAGTTCTGACCACCCTGTATAAATAAAAACGCCCTGTGCAATAATTTCATGAGTAACTTTTCTTAGAACCATATCTCCTGAGAGAATTTTCTTTTTTGACCCATGTCAACATGTGCCTTGGTCAATTTTTAAAAGCAAAATGAACTTGCTACCAACAATTTGCAAATTTTTCAAGGATCATTACTCTATGATGTTTGGTGACTATTGTCATAATGTCATATCGTCATAGGTAAGTATAGTGGAAGTATAATACTTGTTCTAAAACAAGAACGAAAAATAAAATCCACGTATTTTCCTATAAGATGCTGGCTGCATTCCAATATGGCCAAAAGCGCATCAAACTCTAAAGTTACGTATTGAATAGATCAGGATATTTTATTTCAAAAGTCTCGCAGAGTTCAAATGGCCGGAAATTGATAGTTTAAAAGTCATTTTCAGTTTTAAAGTTTTTATAAAGTTAGAGATAGTTTGTTCGTTTTGTAAGTTGAACCAGAGAAATTATAGGAATATTAAATTTGTTAATTAAAAGTAAAGTATTTCTACTAACTCTAACTCTTAAGGGTTTTATGTATTTCTTTTGTATTTCTTCGGTAGAAAAACAACATTAAAATAGTATATTGTTTTATTAGGAGTAAAAATGACAGTTATTGTGACTAGGCTGTACATTTGACATTAGAACCGAGGCACAAAAAGTCATTTTTACGAACAGAACACGCTACTTTTTTTGAAACGTCACAAATAATTTTTTAAACAATTTCGAATGTTGCAAATAAAATAAAATTTAAAATAATACCTCTTATGTAATTATATATCGAGAAACTATGGTTACGCTTATTGATTTTGACACTGTATGTCAGTTTAATAATATATTTTCGTACTTTTATGCCTAGGCTAAAGAGTAGATAAGACAAGAGACGACAGTGAACAAAGAAGTCGAATTTCGCGAGAGAGACGCAGATATATTAAAATTTAAAGGTCCTATCAAGTCCCATTTTGTCTGTTGCCAAGTATATTTCTTTGAAAAATAAACAAGATTTTCTGAAAATAAATTAATAATATAAGAAGGATATAAGTAACGTATGTTAATACGGAAATGTAAATTTTTAGTTTCGGTTGGTTTAGGTTCTTTTTTCGCAATGTACTGATAATATCAAAGAAACAGAATGACTAAGTTGATCGATTTCAAAGATAAACAGATAAAATCTGAAAATCTGACAACGGCGTATTTTATCTAATCTAACCTATGATTTTAGGACGCTAATCAGCTGCGCTAATCAGGCTTAAACATTCAATAAAACAAAATTTTCCAGCTGCGAAAATCGGGCTTTTTTCACAGAAAATCTGATTAGTTGATTTATTTTTTCATTGTCAAGTTGACACATATTTCAGAGTTTTTTCGATATATTATCATCTTTGAAAGTTGTGCTGTGATTTTTAGTATCGTTTTTGTTTAAAACTAATTTTGTATAACCATTAGGTCTAAAGTATGAATTTCTGATCTACACGAGTAGAAATTAAAAAAATCGATATTTTGGCTTAACATGTGCTGGTACAGTACTGCAAAAAATATATCTTTTTCTTCGACTGGCCATAATTTTTCAACAAAATTGAGGATCCTGAGTTTTACTTGTTCATCAAACGGTTGCCGAGATAATTATGTTATTATACTTATTAAGAGTCCGATCGAAGACATGTTTTCTAACGATTGTATTATATTTTTACAAAAAAAATTGAGCAACTCTATTTTTTGTTCACAAACTCCACATTGTGATTTTACACTTGTTCAACCATATGTAAAAGTACACCTAAATAAAATTATTTTTACCTACCACTAGCGACTCTACCGTGTTTACCAACGATATACTAAATTATTTTATCAAAATTCCACCAAATATGTTTATAATTATAATTTATTTTATTTGACATTTAGAAAACCGATTTTTTTTTCGTTTCTATTCATTTCTTTACCCATACAGTAACTATTTTTTGAAACGTACAAATAAGTTTTAATACAATTTCAAATGTCCCGCAAAAAAAATTACGAAAATTCAAAGGGACATACCTTTTTGAGGTCAATTCCCACCACTCAAACATTTAAAAGGTACCGCGCGAATAATATATTTTCTTATCTACTCTTTATGCCTAGGCGTTAAAATGACTTTTTTGTATTGTCAATCACGTCGCAAAAATTAATACTTTTGTGACGTTTGAAAAAAAAATTTTTTTTTCAAAAAATCGTCTCTTATGCCGGGCCCAGACCAAATCGACAAAAAGTAAACACGATTTTGAGACAAAAACAAAACAAACTTGCGACAAAAAATGGAGAATTCTAACAAGACAAACTTCAGACAAATTGTCCACACCGCAATGACAAAAGTACAACAAAGTCAAAAGTTTAGTGGTTGCAAATGAGTTTTATTAACCATGTGTGATTTCACTGGTCTCCCACTGCGTTGGCAGCACACGCCATCCACACTGCGCCGACAACCTGTCGTAAAATATACGAACAAAACATAAACACTTTGATCTTTACCGACTCGAGACGGCACATTGAAAAGTCCCTGAATTTTGAAACAAAACAAAAATGAAACAAAAATGTCGCAGAAATGTATTGGAATTTTGTCGTAAAACATGAACGTTTCTGTCTTGTCGTTGTTTTCTCTGCTTGGTCTGGACATTCTACATATCTAAATCAGCCTTAAACTCGAACAGATCTGTGTTTTTCATCGTGTTTTTTGCTTGTTCCAGGTCTGAAGCAGAAATTCGTATTGATACTGTACGCCGGGGACGCGGCCATAGCCAATATGTCGTCGTCTGGCGTGCCCGAATTCGCCATCCAGAATCTGGAAGCCGCCCAAGAGTACTATGCATCGATCTACTCGTTCAACTCGAAAGGTTTGTAACAGTTTCCGATTGAAACCGGTGTTTTTTTGGGGGGGTGTGGGATAACCGGGGGATTTTTAGGGTTTTAGGATATATTTTTTACAAATCATGAAATTGGGGTTTTTAAAATTCAGAGTTTTGCTGTATTGTTCTTTAAAAACTAGTGCATTTCAAAAAGAAACTCTTAACAGTAGTGTAAAAACCCGGGGTCGTCAACAAAGTTGAAGAGGAAATATTTTGGCCAACTGTATAACAAACAATTTAAGTGAAGTAAAGTTATGTTAAAAATATTTTATTGTGATTATCTCGGGTGCGTATCGACAGAAGCAATATTTTGGGAAAGTTGAGGAGAAAAATATGTTTTAAATATGTGAAAATATATGTTTATTATAAATCTTAGGTACTGTAACGTTTTTAGTTCGTTACATGTCTTTTTTATATATAATATATGATGTCTGGCCTATCATCACCGGATTCCCTCTCGTTCAAGCCGGATAGTTTATTTGACGCGTAATTTTTACGTTCCCTAGTCGCCAACCCTGTTATCGTTCGACACAACCCTGTTACTATTCTGTGGAGGCGCGCGCTGTCAACATCGCTTCTGTCAACTCTCCGTGCTTAACCTCACTTTGTTTTGACGCTCTGTTGTATCCCAGCTTTTAGAAATGGTGATTATTTAAATCTCGCTGCTATTTCAAAGCAACAGGGTAGTGTTACGGATGTCCCAACTTGTATTTGTATTTTGCTGGCACGTTGGCGTCCCTTTTCTTTTGTCCTCCAGAATGTCACAAGGAAGAAAGGACATGTTGTTTATTATTTATTGAGCCCTCGGAAGTATTTCGAGGGTCCAAGGTAAGGACTGTGTCCAAGGTACGGACTGTGTCCAAGGCACGGACTGTGTCCAAGGTACGGACTGTGTCCAAGGTACGGACTGTGTCCAAGGTACGGACTGTGTCCAAGGTACTGGTAGTGTCTTATGTACAGACATTATCTTATGTACAGATGTCCTGTGGACGAGTGTCCCCAGTAAGAATGATTTTTTCTTACATATAAGTGCCACAGCGTGGATGTAGCTTGAGTCCCATGCTGCTTCACTCCCATTTCTAAGCCTAGTCAGTAGCTACGGCTGTAGTGATTCATGGTGTCCTCAATCTGGCCCCTTTTGTTGTTTTGGCCAACAGGATCGCCGACAGACAGTACAGAGATGCTAGACCACCTCACGCTGCTACTGTTTGAAGCAAGGTTACATAAAAGAACAGCTAAGTGTAGATTTACGTTCTAGTTTTTATGTTTTAGATTTTCTATATTTACAGTCTTAAACAGTAACGTACATTTTAAATAATATCGTACAGACTATATTTAGTGGTTAGATTATTAAGAACATTTATGTCGATTCAGTAGTTACAATGTGATTTAGATTTTAGGTTTCATTATATTACGCCTTGTAATAGTATTACTTTCTATAGATATTATTATGGCGCTATATTAACAGATGAATAACGAGACATAGATTCTAGAAATACATGTAAGAAATTGATATCATCTATTGGTCCCTCAGTAATTATAAACACTCTTGGAAAATGAGTTTTTGTATTCGGAATCTTCACACTAATAAATGACTGACAATCTTTAATGGCATCTACGGTCAAAAACGTGATTTCTTCCCTCCTACATGCTCCAAATATTCCAACGATTAAGACAACTTTAGCTAACAGGAATTCTTTGTCATCGGCTTCTTTCATGAAGCGTTCTATTTCCAGTTTTGTAAATACTTTTGATTTCTTTGCCTGATATCCGGAAGCTTTTCTTTTTAAAAATGCAATAAGGTTTGTAAATTTGCTAATATCTACGTTTCTGTTCAGGTAAATCATGGTCGGAGCATCGAATATTTACTCCACAGAGTTGACGGCTTTAAGGTAGTGGATAACTTCACGAAATAGGCTAGCAATACCTTTTCTGTGAAATTCTTAACATGTTTTTCTTTGACCCAGGTTTCAAAGTTGTTGTAGATGGTCTCGTATAAGTTTTTCGACTTCTCGGGCACTAACGTGGATAGCGCAGTTTCAGCAGCTTCTTGAATATCCAAAGACTCGTCATTATCATTCATTTTTTCACAAAACTTTGTATTGTTCGTTTGAACCTGACAAAACTTTGTCATTAAGCAATGCATAAACAATGCCTTAGAAACCGATTACCAAAACATTTTAAAAAATGTTTAAAAATAAATAATAATAATAACATGAAAATCTCAAATTGCCCGCTTGTACAAAAAATCTTGTATGAAATTCGTTGCGAAAAGAATGTTTTAAGCACTCGACGCATTGACAATTTTGCGTCCCGTGCTTAAAACACATTTATTTCGCAACTTGTTACATAAATAGCTATTTCCTCATTTTGTATTAATTATATTACAATTTAAGTGTCCTTTATCTTTACATGTGAAATTTCGAAAGAATTCACGTTTCCCCAATACAATTTCCGGTATTTTTCCAGTTATTGGCGTCGAGTTTTCGCTATTGCGGACGTATTATCGACTTATTTCCCCATCGAGATCGGTTCGTACGGCCTCCTTTGTATTGCAAATGCACTAAAACGCTTTTATTTCGCGTACGCAGTTGGTCATTTGCCATTCTAAACCCGGTTTTTCGATGCTTTTGTGCTTCAAAAAGAAGCCGGTTGTGTTGTTTCCTTTCGATTTTCCTTTTTTATTGGTTGCGGGGATTAAACAAAAAACGATAGCGTCAATGGTGGCTTGTATAAACAAGGAATTATTGGGAATTTGCGAATAGAAGTACAAAATAAAGGTGTTTTTGGGTCTTTTACCTCTATTAAATTACATACTTTAATCTATACTAATATATAAAATCCTTAAGTGACTGACTCACTGATTAACCACGATCCTGCTCAAACCACTCAACGTAAGAAGCTCAATTTTGGCATACAGGTTGATTCTAGGGAGTAGAGGTTGGATAAGAAGGGATTTTTCGAAATTCCAGTTCCAACCACCCCACAAATATTACGATATTTTTTATTTAAAAAACGGTCAAGTTTCCGAAAAAAACGCTTAAACACATCTTATTTTGTTTTTTTACATATTTTAAAATTTTTTTAAAATGTATACAGGGTGTTTCGAAAAATCTGGTCATTGATTAATCACGATCCTGCTTAAAGCGCTTGACGTAAAAAGCTGATTTTTGGAAAACGGATTGACTTTGGGGTGTAGAGGTTCGATAAGAAGGGATTTTTCGAAACTCGAATTCTAAGGGGGTAAAACCACCCCTCAAATATTAGAATGTTTTTTTATTTAAAAACCGGTGAGTTGTTTTTTTACATATTTTAAGATTTTTTAAAAATTTATACAGGGTGTTTCATAAAATATGACCATTGAGTTCAAAAGTTGCCGAGAATGTTCCAAAAAGTTGGGTAATTGATTAACCACGATTTTGCTTAAACTGCTTGACGGAAAAAACTTATTTTTGGTAAACGGATTTTTCGAAAATCAAGTTACAACGAGATGAAACTACCCCTCAAATATTACCAAGTTATATAATAATATCGCCATATTGTTTTTTCTAATGCTGACATAAATGTGAGAAAATTTTATCCAGTTTGTATGTTAATGGAAAGTCTTGCTTTGCTTTATTATCACCATTACAAATGATTAATTCGACGCGAACGAAGTCGCGTGTACACGCTAGTAATCTATAAAAATGACACTCTTTGTGTCATAAGTTGTTACTTTTTACATCTAGTTTGTTTATCTTGGGTACTCTTGTTTTGTACAGTCTATTTATACATATTATTTGTGGGAAAACTTGGACCTAGAGTATTTTCCTAAAATAAACCATTCCTAAGGTTTTAAAAAAGTTAATGTACTTAAACAAGATCTTTAAATTTCTTCAAACTGCTTAAAAATATGCATTTTTATTAGTTTTAAAAGATTTTTATTGTTCTATCCCCCAGTTTAATAGTTGACATAACTTTTATTTTATCCACTCTTCGCCACCGTTGCTTTTGCCAACAACATAAAACTAAATCTATGTTTAATGCTCCAATAAAATAAATTATTAAAAGGCTTTAAAGTCCAACTGTACGTGACGCATAAAAATATTAGTTGTGTATTTTAATCATTATAAAGAATCTTATTTACTTTTTACTTTTATGGCCCATTTTTCATGCTTTTGATTATTGTATTTTATAACTTTGGAATTTTGCATGTCTTTAGACATTATTATGGGGAGCAATTCCCAACTACCTACACATTAAAGTTTTATGTTTTAAGAAAAATAATGTAAATTAATTTTTTATTGAGGATTGACTTTTATTGTTTAACTTTTATTATTAGATTAGATTTAGATTAGATTGATTAACTCCATTCGATATAAATACAACAGTACTTAAATTATAGGATAATTATATTATAATATACTCAGATGCAAAAAAAAACGCAACGGAAAATTTTTGCCTCAAGTTTAAAGTGTTATATTTTTTTTGTTTTTAGCTCTATTTTCGTGAATTTTTTAACAAACTGTATATAAATACATCAAATTTAATTCATAATCTCAGTTTTATATAAACTTTTGTATTGAGCTAATTATACGGGGTTAATTGAAGAATTGTTTTTTACCCTAACTTTAAAACACCCTGTGCAATAATTTCGTGAGTAACTTTTCCTAAAACATTATTTTTTGATCAGAACACTAACAGAACTAAGGATATTAAAAAACATAACTGTAATAACAAAATGTACAAGCAAACAAAAAACTTGTGAAAAATACTCTAATACTTTGTATTTTCTCCCCCGATTGCTAACCCTTGAACTGGATGGCATTTGTCCATCGGCAGTTTACCATTAGCTGAAGAAGTATGATTCTTGGATTGGAGGGTATAAATTCATTATTAAATAACATTATTATCATAAAAAGAATATATTACAACCGAATTATAACGAGAAAACTGTCCCGAACTGGGTCCTCTTGAACTAGATGGCTTATGTCCATCGGCAGTTTACCATTAGCTGAAGAATTGGATTGGAGGGTATAAATTCATTATTAAATATCATTATTGTCATCAAAAGAATATATTAAAACCGAATTATAAGGAGAAAACTGTTTTGGACTGGGTCCTCTTGAACTGGATGGCATATGTCCGTTAGCAGTTTATCATTAGCTAAAGAAGTATGATTCTTGGATTGGAGGATATAAATTCATTATTAAATAACACTATTATCATCAAAAGAATATATTAAAACCGAATTATAACGAGAAAACTGTTTTGGACTGGGTCCTCTTGAACTGGATGGCATATGTCCGTTAGCAGTTTATCATTAGCTAAAGAAGTATGATTCTTGGATTGGAGGGTATAAATTCATTATTAAATAACATTATCATCATTAAAAGAATATATTAAAACCGAATTATAACGAGAAAACTGTCCTGGACTGGATCGTTTTGAACTAGATGGCCTATGTCCATCGGCAATTTACCATTAGCTGAAGAAGTATGATTCTTGGATTGGAGGGTATAAATTCTTTATTAAATATCATTATTATCATCAAAAGAATATATTAAAACCGAATATTAACGAGAAAACTGTCCCGAACTGGGTCCTCTTGAACTGGATGGCTTATGTCCATCGGCAGTTTACCAATAGCTGAAGAATTGGATTGAAGGGTATAAATTCATTATTAAATATCATTATTGTCATCAAAAGAATATATTAAAACCGAATTATAACGAAAAAACTGCCCTGAACTGGGTCCTCTTGAACTGGATGGCATATGTCCATCGACAATTTACCATTAGCTGAAAAGTATGATTCTTGGATTGGAGGATATAAATTCATTATTAAATAACATTATTATCATCAAAAGAATATATTAAAACCGAATTATAACGAGAAAACTGTTTTGGACTGGGTCCTTTTGAACTGGATGGCATATGTCCATCGACAATTTACCATTAGCTGAAGAAGTATGATTCTTGGATTGGAGGGTATAAATTCATTATTAAATAACATTATCATCATCAAAAGAATATATTAAAATCGAATTATAATGAGAAAACTATCCTGAACTCGGGTTTCTTGAACTGGATGGCATATGTCCATCGGCAATTTACCATTAGCTGAAGAAGTATGATTCTTGGATTGGAAGGTATAAATTCATTATTAAATAACATTATTATCATCAAAAGAATATATTAAAACCGAATTATAACGAGAAAACTGTCCTGGACTGGGTCCTCTTGAACTGGATGGCATATGTCCACCGGCAGTTTACCATTAGCTGAAGACGTATGATTCTTGGATTGGAGGGTATAAATTCATTATTAAATAACATTATTATGATCAAAAGAATATATTCATATATATGTCATACTGCCACTGAGGCTGCAAATATATTTTGTTATCTTCAACAAAATCAATGACTTTTCCACAATCTTCGACACTAAGAACCACATACAGTTGTACACAACAGTAGCTACCTGTGTCATTATCGATATATTTTTGATATGACATCAAAAGGTAACATTAATTGAAAAAATTGCAAAATGGTTGTGACAAGTTTATTTTGCCCTTAAAAATTAACAAAGGCATATGTTGCTATAAGTCAAAAAACAAAATATTCCAAAGACCGAAAAAAAAATGATTTAGAAAAATTTGCACACGAAATTATTGCACAGGGTGTTTTAAAGATAGGGTAAAAAACTTTTCAATTAACTCTGTATAATAAATTAAATACTAAAGTTTATAATAAACTGAGTTTACGAATTAAAGTTGATATATTTATATACAGTTTGTTAAAAAAATCAAGAAAATAAGGCTAAAAATAAAAAAAATCACACTTTAAACTTCAAAAAAATTTCAGTTTCATTTTTTTTCGTCTGAGTGTATAAACAAAAAACAACAACAATTCTACGATATATAAACTAAACAAATACAAATATAAAACAAATATATTTGCGCTTATGCACTAACAAAAAACAATACCAATTAAATAAAATACTATTGTAAAATATGATCGAATAAAAACAGCGTCAGCGATGGCTATGAAATGAAGATCTCTATTATTTTATATGTCAAATTATATGGGGAATGTCATCGATCGTCATTTCCAAGCTAACTAGAAGCCGTTTTTTTTTTCGATCATACGGTATATCTGTTGATGTTGATAATTTGTCCACCGAGTAGTAGTAGCTCTTTGAAATAAAGAATTTCTTTTAATTAATCTTTTTTTTTGTTTAAATATAGGGAACTTATTATCGATTGTCAGTCCCAAGCCGTCTTTGACGCCTTTTTTTTTCGATCATACGGTACATACATATAATAACAATGTATATTCTTTCTAGGTGCTTCCAAATTAGCACCACCTCTAACCATAAGGACCCTACCAGCACCAGGATTAAAGGAACTTCGCAGATCTACTGAACCCAGTGAAAGTACCAAATCTACCCTAAGCGGTCCTTGGCTGTACATATTGCTAGCAGCAGGTTCTACTTTGATTGTGGCAGCGGCACTGGGTCTCATCATATTTGTCGTCAAACGATTTAAAGTAAGTAATTAATATAATATTAAGTTTCATAAAAATATCTACAAGGTGGTTTGAACTGTATTCCGGAAATATCGGCAGCATATTCTACAGATAAAAATAAGTAAAAATGTCCGTATAACTGTATGTCCTAAAATGTTTAGTTTCGAAGATACAGGGTGTAGAAGTTTCATTTTTATTTCGATTTTTTCCAAATAAGTTATGAAGTAACGTCAAAATTTAGATGAAAATTGGTGACTGGGAGTTTTTTGACATGAGAAATTTAATTTTGATGTCAATATAAGTCCTATTTGTAGGAGGCGCCGCCTTCATGTGTTTTAACTCTTCTGAAGAGTAATAACTTTTCGTCCGTACCTCTATAAAACTACTGGGTGAAAAAATATATATTTCCGTGATTTTTTACGTAAAAAATGCCTCTTGGTAAAAATCGCAATGAGCAACCTCCTGTATATGTTGACAAATTGAAGACTTTTGATCAGTTATACAAGCAATTACTATTAGTCTTCTGAGGTTACCCCTGTACATTGTTTGAGCCCGTAAGATTATGTTGGTCTCGTTTGCAACTAAAATTATACTAACAAGACCGGAATCAAGGAATTTCCTTCATTTTCCTCTCTTAACCTCGCGCATTTTCCGAGCCACGTGCCTCGCTTTTACCGCTGACCTCGCTAATTCCCCTTCAGCGGTTTCCATTTTTATTTTATTAAATTTAGGATTTTCTTTATTTCGTCGACGTCTCGTTTTTTTTTACTTTTTTTTTTAATTTTAATGTTATAAAACTTATGAGAAAATTTTGATATAAGTTAAAAAAGCTTCATTCTTTTTATAAAATAACTGTTTTTGATGTGTTTTTTTATATCTACAATGTTCTAAAAATACAGGGTTCGGCAATAGTGCGTCGGGCATCTGTAGCTTCTACAATAAAAAAACCTGGGAATTTTGGATGGATCGGGATGATTTTTTTTAAATGGAACACTCCGTATATTATTGCATTGTTGGCTTCCTTTCAGATCACTTTACAGAATCCGAAGATATGAGTAAATATATTTCGATAATTTCGGAGATATTAATAAATAAATAAAAAATATATATTTTTCATCCTTTCTTAAAAAAATTATAACAAATACAAGAACTGTCCTTAAATCAAAACTATATTAGATATTTACTTTGGATGGTCTATACTTACTTTGCTATAAATATGGTAATATTAAATCATACAGAGTGTTCACAATTTGACGCCAAACTTTCTAAAATATAAAATAATTTTTCTTTGTTTTTTTTTTTAATGGAACATCTTGTATATTTTTTTTTTATTAGATGAAGAATTAATACAAGTTTCATTAAAAATGTATCGTTCAAAATTTAATCTACGACGCGACACGAGGGACGATCCAAAGAGATTTGATTTAATTTAAAATATCAGAGATATTTCCTCATAAAAATTAAAATTCAAAATTATCAGGTGCCCATATTAGTCGACGGCGTGGTAATCGTGCTTGTTGATTGTATCCATTTTATTTTGACTTTGACAACTCAATTATTGATGTTCAATTTTGTGTTAACCGTTCAGTTTTAGCAAAAAAAACAAAGAATAATATTAAATAAATTTACTTTCTAAAAATTCAACTCGCCTGTCATCGTCTGGAATTAATTTAACGAATTTTACTGATATTATAATTAATGTTTACAATAAATAAACGTATTTAGGTACCTTTTTTTGCTTGTTAGATTAGAAGCTTATTTTATTGTCTTATAATATTGCACATTAATAATGTCATTTTTGTAGATCGTGTAATCAAAAGTCCTAATCCTACACATAGGCACGTCCCTGTAAAAAACTCTAGACATAAAATAAATCTTCATACTCCAGTAGAAATACATAGAATCAATTAGAAATAAATTATATCGTGGAAAACACCAAGAAAAAAGGTTTTTTACTTCAAATTAGCGGTTCGATAGCCGTAATGATCATTAACTAAACGAGGCCGAAGTTGGAACGGTGAAAATGGTACCCAGAGGTGTCGTTTGGGGGCCGATGTCGTAAATAAAGGGCTTAAAAAATGAGGTTAGGGCTTCGGAGTCTTGCTAATCCCTCTGTAATGTCACTCTATTGCTTTTCGAGGACAGGATCTGTCGATTCGTTTTTTCTATTGCATTTTGTACGTTAAAAAAATTAAGCTTTTGATGAAAATAAGAATAAAATTCAATTAGATAAATAAAAAGAGATCAACAGTGATTGATTGTAGGATTAGTGATTAGAACTGATGCTAAACCTTTTTATAATTCGCTTAGTTTCTTAAACAGTCTCTACACTATGCGGAGAACTCTTCGAAGCAGATCAAGGTCGCGTTTCGCGGCCTAACTTTGTCGTATTTCGGTTTATTTCCAGTTTCGGTTTGCCTCGACCTACTTTCGATTCTTAAAAGCGCCTGAAAACTATTCATGAGGAATTTTTTGCAGCATTTCTGTTGCCTCGTTCAATTTTGTTTTCGTTTTTGAGCAATTTCCAAAACGTGGCGGTATCTTGTACCCAGAGACAAAGGACTTTTTTTCATAAATCTCAGTGAAATAAGTTAACCTAGACGTTTTTCTAAAATAGCTGTTGTTACGAAGGTGTTTTTAATTAATGCACCACAAAAAAAACCAACCAAAGTTTAAATTAAGTTTTTGTCAAAAACCACTTCTTATCCGATTTGAATACGATTTTTTGAATGAATAGGAGGATATTCTTTTCCACAATGTTGCTATACTAACTGTATTTCCTTTGATAGGAACCCTTTTATACTAATACCGGATGTAGCAATTATAACGTGTTTTTTAATAAAATTTTGTGACACCCTGTAGAGTTGATCAGTTACAGTATCAAATTAAAATTGAATTCACATTTTAGCCTTAACTTTTTTTACATTTTGTTTTTTTATTTACTTCATTATTCTTCCTTATTACACGAGAAACAACATTTTATAGGATGACATGATTTAATGAGGTTTTAATTAACATTTTTCCATTTTACTCACTAAAGTAAGTAGCCAACAGGCTATGGAAAAATGGCGTCGAATATTTTCGAACCTTTGTTCTAGAACAAATCTGAAGTTGTCTCTGAAACGGATTATCAGTCACTGTCAACTGTGAATGCTTGTTGTCAATAGTTAGACGTTTTCAATGCTGTCCTATATCTATGCGGCGTGCACGTCGAAACAAGAAATCAGGAATGACACTAATGAGAATTTTGCTCAAGCCTATTTCACTGTCTGAAGGAAGGTTGGAGCTACCGAAGAATTGGTGAACGATTTAATGTAATTTACTCAAGGCGGGAATCGAAAAACCAATCCGATTCAGGAACGTTTTTAAAACTCTCAACATTAAGACAACGTTTCGTAACAGATAGGACCCTTCAAACTCAGCTCTGTAAAACTTGGAAAAATAAGTTGGTTAAAATAATGGTTTTTATAATTCGGAAACTCTCTATTTATTTATCTAGTAATGCTAAAACACTCTATTTTAAAGTCGATTAGAGAAAATAGTATGATTCATTGGCAAGTAATGTAAACATTTGCGATCCGGTAAAATTGTGATGTAAGAGGAGGCTTAGCTTGCCTACGGCGGTTCAGTAGTAGACTGGCCAGCCGGCTGTTGTGTTGTGGTTTGTCATAGAGCTGATATTTGGGGGTTGAGAGTCTTTTGACTATAAACGTTGCAAGTACTGTAAGGCAACGGGTCGTTTGACCGGAAGAAAACCTCTGGTGACGTCTTTCCTTCGAGGTTGGTCTTGAGAGTTTGAGGTCTCCCTTGTCTTCTCGATTGACACGATGCGGCGTTGGGGTAGAGCTTTGAATAAGAAGACTAAGGAAGGAGCATATCAAAAATCTTAGGTACACCGCGATGGGCCTCAAATATGGCCGACTTAAATTCCGGTTTATCAGTGTCGTTCTAATTTTATTTAAAAAAATGTAAAACTATGATGTAGGGTAGACGTGGGGTAGACTCAATAATTTGTTGTTTTATTTTACGTTGTGAATAAATGTTGGTAGTTATTAAAATTGTTATAAAAATATATAATTCTAATAAAAATAGATAAGTTATAATAAGTATTTATTAACACAAGCATCTGATACGCTACTGAAGCAGGTAAGTCAAATTAACGTATCTAAATTCTTTGACATCTAATCTTTGACAAGTAATAAATAAAAGCTAAAAATGCAAGAAAAATATATAATTTAGTTAATTTAAGTGAATTTCATAAATTATCGGTTTACTACACGTATGTATATTATATAGTCACTTACTAGCGAAAAGTTGTTCCATTATTTCACTCAATTTTTGCCGAGATCTACCGCACGCTACACAACCAACTATTTTAGAGTCTTTTTCCATAAATCGCTATAGTGTCACTGTTAATTTAAGTTCTGCCACAATTTCCATCTAGATTTACTACCTTTATACAACTATCAGTAGTAGAATAAATAATAAATAACATAAAATAAGCTCCGTAAAGACTGACAAATCCACAAAATTTCAAATCAAATTCAAATGTGTCAAATGAATCGTCAAACAGAACTGTCAAGGATCCCCACCCTAGAGAGCTTTTATGGTGGCTTTTCCGCCCACCATGCATGAATACATGGATAGCATTATGCTCCTTCCTTAGTCTTCTTATTCAAAGGGGTAGAGAGACTAGTGAGGTACCCCAATTAGCTTATTCGATTGGGATGCGAATCTGTTTAGCGGCAGAGTTGCGTCCGGGGGAAGCCCCTATACTATTTGAGGTGACACTAGCTAGTTGTTGAAGATTATTAACCAATATATAACCGAATGATATTTGAATTAGATGGAAAATATGGAATGGGATATATTGAATAGAATATATCAGTGGCTAGGGGGCGGAGTACCCCCGGGTGAGTCTTACTATTTAACTATTAATTTTATCCAGATCAGTAAATGTTTGTTTTGTTATTTTCATGTACAATGAGAGAGTGCTTGCCAATGACCAACTAAATGGATAT